GCACATTAACTCAGTGAACAGAAACAAGTTCTGCAGGGAGGATACCGAAGAATCATGATTAGGGAACAAGAAGTCCGCTAAGCTACTGAAACTCAGGATTTAGGTGAGGACAAAGGCAAAAGCTTTGACACTGAGCTCACAGCTTTGACAAAACCCAACCACACTCACTCTGACTTTTTCTGTGTTAAATGTGACTCAGTACAATATCTGCCACAAACTTTAATAAACCTCTTTCTGAGATTCTGCAGTATGAATAGTAAATTCCTATAAATGCGAAAGGCCAGCTGCAAAATTAACTGGATAGTAAATATCGGCTGTAGGCACAAGAGGGAATTGTCTGGAACCAACTATTAGTAAATCTGGAACTTTGAATAATAACATAAAACCCATTTTATGTCGCATTCATTTTGTTTAACTTAAAATCACATTAAGTCTGAGTAACCCTTGGATGCAGGGTAAAGCACCACCTACCTATAAAGCATTTCCCTTGTTAGCTTTGTAGCTGACAGATAGTAATGGGTATTATCGGCTCTGGTAACCCTCTTGTATACTTCCTACCCCTGCTGTATACCAGTCGGCTGTAGCCTTCGCTCCCACTGACAGCTCCGTTAAAATCTCCTCTCACAATCAGTTCAACACACCCTGTTATTTTATCCGTCACTGCAACATTTTATTGACAATTCACAGATGTAGTCGCCGTGAATCTCTTCGCATATGCATGGCCCATCAGGCATAGAAAAACTAGAGAAGCTGCTAAAATCACAGGTAATGTAACTTACTTAAACCTGCAAATTGAACCCAACAGAATTCACCTTACTTCTTACTGAAAATGTGCTGAAGCATTTCAGATGATTAAAGGAAATGTCAAAATTAGAGTCTACCTACCTAATCCTTAATATTTTCGGAGGCTTCAAGGAGCAATTTATCCTACTTGAGCTATAATTTGGAGAATTTATTTTTTGCCATCCTTTGCCTGTTCATTGTGAAACCATCCCTACACATGGAGGTGGCCTAAGATGAATTCGGTAGCCTGAAAGACTCTTGACTTTACCCACAGAGAAGTCTGTTAATTTTCCATGGTCTGGTGGTCTAATATATCACTCTCTGGATCTAAAGGTCAGATGTGATTCAAATCCAACCAAATAAGAGAAACTATATTTTAACCTAATGACTTAAAAAATTGTCTCTTTCAGCACAAAGGCTGCTCTTTGTTACCCATCTGAAGGGAACGCAAAGAGGTTTGTGCAGTCATATATACTTGGTAACAGCATCAGCTCTTTTCAGTAACTCAAAAAATAAGTTTTATAAAACCGTGCCTACTGTATATAAGAAAAAGATTTATCCACCTGACAGGGATCACTGCTGTGGCCAGCAATCAATCACAGCTTTTCAGTACAGTAGCAGCAAAATGTAAGCCCTGATTCATAAACATTTGCCTGACAGTGGTGCTAAAAATGTTTTAACTCGATGAAAACTGCATTTATATTTTATCTTTGCATACGATCCTACGTTTATTTGCATATTCATTAGTGATTATATGGCAAATATACTGCAGTGTGCTTTAAAACTACCAAGGCAGCATGCTTAAATGAAACACAAACCAGGGAGTGATGCCATAAGATAGAAATAACCTGTGATGTCACACAAAGCAAGGATTAAGTAAAACAAGAACGCTCTATGTGTTGGTATGTGTTCTGTTGTGTTACGATGGCCTGAGCCAACCACACTATCTATCAATATTCATGGGAGAGCTCAGGCAGAGAAGTCCTTACTGTGCTGTGAGGTCTAGTCAGCTGTGAGTGGAGCCACCGTGACACAGACGGCATGTGGGTACCGCTGTGACTTAAGAAGATGGAGGGGTCGCCCGATGCTGCAGCCAGGATGGATGATGAGTGTATTTGTGTGACTGCAGGGGGACGAGACAATTTTAGAGGCTCTGCGAGAACTTATAGGCAATTTTGTGTCTCTCACTTGGTGCGGCATGTTATTTTTAATCACACTGTGCTCATCTTTGTGAATTAGCAATTACAAAGGGATTGCCCACTTCAATTTGGGTAATGGACTTTTTGTCATTGAAGGAAGTAGCTGTTCAGTGCATCCCTCTTTATAGATTTCTTACCCTTGTGTCAGATCAGGCTTTTACCCCAACATTAGGGTAACGAGCTGCTGGCCACCTGCACTAGACGCGTCTCCTCCTTCCTGCCGCCACAACCACAGAGTGCATCTTCAACCTCATAACTTTTGTTTTCAGAAAACTTTCAGAAACCTTTATCTTATTATCATGCCTTCAAGGATTATTGTATTAATTTATACTGTTGTAAGAGTGGATATACAGTAATGGTTTCCAAACAAAGATGCCTTCAGGCAGCTTTTTTTTTGTATTTGCAGGTACATTAAATTACTGTGAGTGATTATTCAAGTTACCTTTGTGCTATTTTATGTGTCAGATGTAAGTAATTTTTTGCAGGAGTTTGATTCAGTCTTGCCTAAGTTCAGAGATATAAGTGCGATCCCCACGCAGGGAACAGGGAACCCAGCTTCCCTGTTCCCTGTTCCTAGCTCCCAGCTAAAATGTCCAGGCTTAGTGGCTTAAAGTTACATGGTCACTTTATTTGGTAGGCTGATGTTAACACAGGCTGCTAGACATTTGCTAGGTCTAACATCACCTAATTCAAGCATTTCATCTCTGTTTTTGGAGCGTTTTCAGTGCAATTACCCAGCAAACGATACGTCTTCTTGTAGTTAATTGTTAACAGAGTACATTCAAGAAGTCTGCACTGATTTTTGTGTGAGTGAAATTCCATCCATCCATTTTTTTTCATCTAAATCAGGAGGGCGGACTGGAGCCTGTCTCAACTATCATTGGCAGTTACTTGCAGGGTACACCCTGGACAGGTCCAATCCATCACAGAGCTATCACATTAAGTGTGCCCTAAGCATCCTTCGAAGGACGTGGCCTATCACGAGGAGCCGAAGTGAGCGGTTAAATGGGATGGTCTAGCCTACGATGCGCCGCTTCTGTTGCCTAGCAGCTACAGACCTTATCATTGCTCAACATAGATATAGGAGAAAACCTTCATTTTGCCTCATTTGTTTTTACTTTTACTAGAGGAAATTAAGATGTCTGAGATCTGTCTGAGGCTGAGAGACTATAGTCACATAAAAACAAGACTGTTAGCCAAATGTAAAACGTTAGCTTGTAAACAACAGCTAGCTAATGTCATTTATGCGACTGGTGTCATTACAATATAATTTGAATAATATAAAGGGGCCTACATTGACAATGTTATATATATTTTTAATCAAAAATGACAAGTGGTGCAGTTTAACTCAGATGACTCATACTGAGCTTCAGTAAAAGTTTAAGATACATTTCCATTTCATATCACTGAATATCATCACTGCTCTATCTCAGCGATAAAAAATATTGTTAATATAGCGCAACCTACATTTGTCTGAAAGCTTTACTTATTTATATCTTCTGTCTTTCCCCAGGCTGTCGGACTACTTTACTACACCCCCTTACTTCGATCACTACTCGATTAATGTGTTACAATAAGGCACTTACCTATACAGGCTATAATAGCTTTGCACACTGGACTGAATATAAGCATTTTGCACATCATGATCCACCTACATATTGCATTTGCTCCCTTCTTGCTCATAACATTTACATATTTTTCAAATTCTGATTTGTATCCTAATAATATCTGTAGGCAGTTGGTATATATTCCTATTGTGTGCACTTATACTAATATTTATATGGCTATGTATGTATTGCATATACTATTCTATATTTTATTTCTGTGTCACTATTTTATTACACTGTGACACCGAAACAAATTCCTCCTGGTTTACATTTAAGCGCAGTATCCCGTAATTTTAGCAAAAGTTAGAAAAAGAACTAACAAGATGTGACCATTTTATGTTTCTCATAAAGTGAAGGACAAATTGATGCTCTTAATATTTCTTTACTGAGTTATAAAAGAATTTCATAACTACCATGACAGGGACAGCAAACCATTCACACCAACAGACAGTTAATAGACAAGTAAGCACATGTTATTTCTATATTTAAAAGCTAAATGCTAATTACCTTAAAAATCAAACTCACAAACTTACCCAACATGCATAGCGGTTCCAGCCCAGGACCTTATTGCTGTAAATCAACAGTGCTAGCTACACAAAGTGAAAGTCTAGCAATATTTTATTTAAAAGTTAGCAAATGTTAGCAGCTATTGTCTGAATGCTACAGCAATACAGATGGATGGGTTCTGATAACCAAGCTAGCTTTTCTTAGCTTATAACTCAACACTTCACTGCTCCTGTCCAAACATCCAAACAAAAGATGAAAGTGCTTAAACCAGGCGTCAGAACCTCTAATCTACAAACCAATGGATGTCTTCGCCGTGACTTTCTCTGTGTCGTACTGTATACAAGCATCCATCCATCCATGCTTCCTTGCAGTTAGTTTCACAGCCCCCTCTTGATATACATTTGATGGTAGTGAAATGCAAAGTAGTGACGCACTCGAAGAAGAAAACACTAAGCACGAAAACAATACGCACGACAAATATTTAGTGAGTCAGCTTGGTAAATATTTCATGTTTCTGGAAGAAACATATAAAATTGTATGTCATGTTTATTTCGGATTGTAATATTCTCAGTCTCTCCATAATCAATGTTTTGACTCTTTGAATAATGCAATCATCTATGGTTCTAACACATGCAACACAATACTTCAGAAAATCTGCAGGAAAACACCAACCCACACTTGCAGGGTTTATTCCGCAGTGTGTGTTGCCACTAGCCCCGCTGTGGAGAATCGGCGTGTTTGTCTACAAAAGCATGCATTGTGTTCACAATTAACCAGCCTGACAGACTTGTCAGCAGTCTTCAGGGACGTGACAGGCGGCGTGGAGTTGTGAATGGGAGAGGGGGCGGGTACAGGGAAGCAGACGCAGCTCTCCTGCCGGAGGAGCGCACACAGAAAAGCGCAATCCCATGGAGCGTAGGCGGTTTACCTCACACACCTAAACACGCGTAAACATACGCACTCACTTCTCCTCAAACACTTAAACCAGTCTCCAAAGGAGGTTTGTTTTTTTTTTTACCCAAAGAGAATAACAAAAATCTAAGGACAGGATGGATTCTGCACAGCTGCTCCTTCTGGTGTTGTGCGGATACCTGCCAAAAGTAAGTCTCTGTCTCTCTTCATACTGAAACCATTAATTTATACTTTTACTACAGGCATATTAGATTAAATCCGCTGTTGGACTCTTAAAAAACATTTTCGAGTGTGTTTAATGTAATAAAACAAAAACCCTTTTACTTCTATTTTACTTTTCCTGCTCTATGATATTTCCTGTTCATCTCCTCGTAAGACATCTGGCTTTAGAAAGATAAACTAGGCTGCTTTCACCCAGCAATATATGTGTGGTTGGGTAATTTCAGTAGCTGGCAACGTGAACAGTTGGCTTTAAAAAAAAAAAAAAAAAGTGAGTGTAGTAAAATAAAAAGTCCTCTAAATTCTTAAAGATCGCACATGATAGTGGTTCAGATCAGAAACCTTAGTGTGTGAAATCCACCAGCCTGGCTGCTTTTTACTTTGTTCCTCCGCCTGTTTGATTTATTGTATACAAGTGGACACCTCATACAGGGCTCCCCACTATTTTCATCCATTCTCCCAGGTGGATGAGTGGAGTAATTTACCTAGGCTCTATTTTTACTACTCTAGTAAATAGTTGTAGTCTCTCTAGGTTTATATAATTACATAGAAAGCCTTTGAGCATTGCCACCTGGCAATAAGTCACCTTTTAGTGGCACTCAGTGTTTCTGCAGGGAGTTTTTCTAAGCCTGCACTGTGAGTGATGGATGCATAGGCTTTCCCGCATCTCCTTAAAATTACACTCACTGTAGACGTAAGCAGGAGTGAGGCATGAGTCTCTGCTGGTCTGCTCGGTTGTACCTTTCGGTCCTTTTGTGAGCAACAAACCGAAGCGGCGTCAGGTTTTGCCTCATTTTTCAGAAATGTTATGTCAATTTCACTTCAGTTTTATTTTTTTACTACACAATAGCACCGGTTCACAACAGTCAATATTTGAGAATATTTGGAATGTGAAGAGGGCTCTCACTGCATTTCAGTAACTGAGGGCAGAGGTTTGCTCGTTATTCATCTAATCTCTGTCAGGAACCTGTAGTTTCAGCGAACTGAAGAGGCTTTTTGTTACAATTTTCAGACATGTGGGAGAGAAAAGAAATAGACAAATATCTACTAATAGTTATAATTTTGTGCTGATCTGAGTCATCTGTCCCTGAAGCACAGCTTCCTCAATGCTTTCCACAGAAGCTCTTATCAGGCAGACTACACTGTGAACATCTACTGTATTTGCCTGTGTGAGAATTTCTCCCCGCTCACCTCTCATGACTCTTTGATATCAGGCTCAGCCTGATGTTTTAGCTTAGCCAGATGTGTGATTAGTTGACATACTTTATTGGCTCATATGCCGTATATTTGTCTCTTTTTTCCCCCTAAGTCCTTAGATGGCTGCTTTATAATAACACACCGTGACATGTTTCATCAATATGAATATGTCCAATAAGGAGTTGTGGTGCTGAGTGAAGTGAAGAAAGTGGTTAAAAAGGGTATGTTAGTGGCTGGATGTTGCTGTTATTGATTTAACCGAATGCAGATGGGAGAAGGAGAAGAGCAGGGACAGGGATGAGAGGTGGTGGTGGGGGGTGAGGATGGGGGCAATAATGATTTCTCTTCCTCGTCTCTCTCTGAATATGAAACCAGTCGAGAAAAACCTTAAGGAACTTTTCTTCCAAATAATCACAGAAACCCATTTACGCTGTGGGGTGGTGTGGGAGGTGCAGCACAAACGTATTTTATTTCTTCAAACAGTTTCCGTTCCGATGCGTGAAAATGACTTTTCTGTTTTGGTTCAAGTGTGGAAAAAAAAGCAAATATATTCTCTGCCTTAATATCCTTATGTGTCTGTACCAGTGGCTGAATGTAACTAAGTACATTTACTCAGGTGCTGTTTTGAATTTTATGATAATTTAAATCTCTACTCCATCTCAGAGACAAATATTAATATTATGTATTTGTCCATAAGCTTTAGTGGCATATTAAAACTATCATATTCCTCCTCTCACGTCGAGGCAAACCGCATATCTCCAAATTTGGAGATTTTAAAATAAAATCAGGCTGAAGGATATAGTGTTCCTTTGTTGGCTGACAATTCTTTTTAAATATTAGCAGGTTATAAATGTAAAATAAAGCTAGAAAATGCAGAAAACAGGACTTTGAGATGCATAGTTCTCACAGGGCTCTGATCCTACAAACACATGGTGCAGATTAAACCGTCCGACAGTTTATGAAGTTCAAAATAGCTCAACCTTAAATTTCTGCAGCAGTAAAACTCAGCAAACGCATTAATGAATCAGTTATATTACCCCTAAAACATCATGGAAGATAGTAAAACACTTTTACTCGTGGAGTATTTCAACAGTAGTATCATATTGCTTCTTAAAGTAAGCAAGTGAAGGCACTGAATACTTCTTCCACCACGGGCTCTTAAAGTTTAGAGATGTTTCCACTCTCTCTGCAGTCACACAGTAAGTCAGCATTTCCAAACTTTGACTGCATAAAAATAGAAATGAAAATATCTGTAGCATTATAGGATTACTTTCAAAGGATAAGCATAAAGAATGCTTCAGAAATAACGGTGTGCAAACAAAAACAGTTGTCTAAGGAAGCAGAAGGCCACAAGAATGCAGTTCAAAGCAGGCCTATATTTCTAAACGTGCATGTAATATGATCTTTTTTAAATACTAGCACGTGCAGATATTACGGTATTGTTTGTTCTCTTCATGCTGTTGGCAAACTGTAATACTTAATCACATTGAAAAAACAGGGGTTGTAAATCTTATTTATATAAATAAGTAAAAGATAAATATGAGGCCTATTGTATAAAAATTAATCCCTGCAACACTCAAAGCCTGCTCTATTATATAAATCTGGCTGTAGTCTACTATTGTGTTGTCCATTATGTAGCCTCTTATGGCAACACAGTGGCATCATAATATGTCATGTCATAGTTTTGTGCATATAAATTAGATGTTGCTGTGCTGAATGTAAAATAAAACAATGATTTTTCGGGATGTTATAGGTGCACGGACATTAAAAGTTATTCATTTGAGCCCATTGGTAGGTGGTTGCTAGGCAACAGGATTACATCATATATGTAATATTGATAAGAACCTTCTGTGGCCGGAGAGGTACCTGTGTGTCAAGTTTGGTTGTTCAGCTCCTGATTGTGTTGGAGGAGTTTGTGGACCAACAAACAAACAAACAGACAAACAGACGTTTGGCCCATTAGGATGTACATGGAGAAAACTGCGCTGTGAAAGACTGATGTGAAATATTCCAAAATTTTAGCTTTATTTATCAAAGATTGTATTTCACAAATACCGCACAATTGATGAAAGCTCACTCTGAACTGATCATAGAGCAACAAGTTGTGTTAAAGCAGAGCTGCTTTTGGTTATTGGTTACAGATATGTGGCAGCAGCTACTCCGTCAGCTAATTTTGGCACTTGTACTGGCAACTGGAAACGGCACTGCATAATTGGAACCACATAAATCCACAGCCTGATGTTTGACCATTCAGAAACAACATGATAATCACTCAAGCTCTTTGAAGACCATGCATAAGCACATTGTTCTCAGTAACTGAGAGAAATTCAAAATACTGCTCAAGTCGTGTCAGACGTGTCCTGTGCTTTTGTTTGTTTGGCTTGCACGGTGTTCAAGCCTTCGTTTTTTGTCAGATTTTTAACAACAGGCGACCATTATGTAGATGCTGCTCGTTTTTGTTTTGTTCAGTGAAGTGTAGAATTGGGAAAAACATATTAGTCCACAATGTCAGACACGAGTTTCACTTTTCATTCTTCTGTCAGCTCTTCCTCCTTTTTAGAATTTCTTTGTTATCTCAAACAATGCCAGACTGGGAGCCACTTTGAATAAAAACAATCACTAAATACTTCCTTGCACTGCTCACGATGAGGTCTACGCAACCAAAACTTTAAATCCTGCAGGTATTTATGCAACGTTTTCCACCCTGAGACAACGTGCATACGTGTTCTGTGTGTATATGTGCTTGTAGCTAAGTCTTTGATGAGGTCCACTTATCATCTGTACAATTTTGCGTAGTTTGGCGCTGACATTTTGATTCATTCCTCAATACAGTCATCTCCATAGGTGGCTGTCTAAGTGCTTGGTATTAGTAGGTTTCCAGTATCTCAAGCGGCAAGCACTTAGTTTTTGTCTCCTCCTTTTTGAGCCCAGTTATAGATCACTGTCGCATCTCCTCCCCTCCTGTATCACTCCAGCTGTATGAATCCCTTGCTGTGAACTCTGATGACTGTTTTATCATTGGTCTACCTCTTTGTGTGCTCTGGCTCTATTCACAATATACAGGATTATGTGAACTAATAAACTACCTCCATGCAATAGAGAAAGCTTGATCCCAGCAGCCTACAGTAGAAAGCCATGCTCACATTCCACTGCTATGTCTGTTTTCTCCCCTGATGAGGGACTTTGTTTCAGTTTTTCTTCTGTTTATGCAGCATTAATGGCTTTTGGGAAACGTCACATTCAAAATGAGTTACATTTTGCAAAAGCTGCAAGACACGAAGCAACTTTAATTATCATTGACATTTTTAAAATTGTTGGCTGTTACCCAGATCTTTTTATTATTATTATTATTATTATTGTTTTTAGAAAACGCAATTTATTCAAATAAACATAAAAAAAAAGAATTTAAATGCAGATTTGTCATTGTAAAGATAATGAGAGTGTTAATGAGATTCAGGATGGCCCTGTTATACTGTGGGGAGTCAGCATGCATAATCACTAGAGTTGAAAACACAAACAGATAAAGTTTAATTATTTAAACTTATTGAGTCTCTTGCTTTAAGTCCTTTGGTTAAACCCTGCCAGTAGGGGGCAGCAGAACAAACGTGAAATACAAAATATAAGTACATTAATCTCTATAAGTAAATATTTGCATGTTAATAGAGTCTGTATGAAAGGAAGACAATTTATTGTCCTGTTTTTTACATTTTATTTCGTAGTCTGATTTCTATTGACCAATCACAGTTGACAGACATCGACCCGAAGTCCTGAAACAGTGGCCATACAAAAGACACCAGACGCCAAGTAATCAGAAAACACCTGACAGTCGATTACAAGTCAAAGAAATTTAGATTTTCACACATAGTTAATTACTTGGAGGGATTTTTCTAAGACATTAGGACATAAAACTGCTTTTTGCTCTCTATTTTTGGTCCCCACGATGAAGTACCTGATAGGACAGCTGGGACTCCGGAGGTAGAGCTGGTCACTTTCTATACAGAAGGTTGGTGGCTTGATCTTCAGGTCCTCCAAAATTTCAAAGTGCCCTTGGGCAAGACACTGAATTTCACTTGACTCTTGATGGATCCATTAGACAGTGTGAGATCCATGTGACTGAAGTGCTTAAAGGCATAGAATACAGTGCTGTATGAATGGGTGAATGAATCTTTTGGTAAAAACATCTTCTGCAGACTCAGAGTAGAAAGGCACTCTATAAGTACCAGACAATTTACTATTTGTTTGGCTGCTAAATTCTGCAGTAGGTTAGCTGCTTAACACACTAAATAACCAATCACAAGGCAGCAACTCAAACCATTTAGGCTTGTAGGGATGCTCAGAATGACCTGCTGAGGTTCAAGCTGAGTATCAGAATGTGCAAGAAAGGTGATTTAAGTCACTTTGGCATGGTTGTTGGTGTCGGTCTGAGTATTGCAGAAACTGCTGATCTACTCGAATTCTCTCACACAACCATCTCTAGGGTTTACAGAGATCTGTACAACTATCAAACATCAAACACCCAGTTCTATGGGTGAAAATGCCAAGTTGAGGAGAATTTGAGCTGATAGGAAGGCAACAGTAACTTAAATTATCACATGTTAAAACTAAGGTATGCAGAAGAGCATATCTGAATGCACAACATGGTAAACCTTGAAGCAGATGGGCTCTGGGAACAGAAGACCACACCAAGGTCTACTCCTGTCAGCTACAAACTCAAAACAGTGGCTCAAATGGTTAGTTCGTGGTGCTAAAATTGCTCAAATCTGCAGCAACTGCATGACACTATCATGTCACTGTGAACCTAATCTCTGATGTTTCTGTCACATAGTTCAGTCAGCCATGAAGTAGCCCAACACAATACAAGTAAGGTATAACTAAAGTGGCCAGTGAGTGAATATTTGACGCTGGGTAATCAGACTGCTATGGGGTTGTCCAACATTTGGCGACTACAGATGCAAATCAGCTTTAATCTGCATCTGCCAAAGTAAATATAATGTTTTGATCAGTACATTTAGTGCATTGGTGAACCCTATTACAGGGATATCATTACTACACCATTTTGCACACATTTAATAACACTATACTGATAGCAAACAAATATTCTCAATGGTGTAATGATTTTTTTAAAAGGAGCTTTTAGTGACTAATGTAACCGTCACTGTACTTGACATTATAATTGCAGTGGAGATGTTAAATCACTCGTGCACATAATAAAACTTTCTGTCACGGACTGAAGGAACTTGTAGTCTGCAATGTAAACTCACTATGAGGATAGCATTTTCCACTCAGAGAGGTTTCTGGACCCAGATCATCTCTAAAGTGCTTCATTTTTACATTGTCTTACAATCAACATCATTCTAATGAAAAACAGGGTTACTGAAAGGTCTGCCCAACATGAGAGTTAGCAGTTTTCTTTCCTCTCAAGCAGTGCTGCTACCATTTCCTGAGGATATGTTGGACTTTCTGCTGTAATCAGTCACAGGCAAAGACTCTCATCCCAAAGCTGTGTGGATTATGAGAGTGTCAGGATGACCTTCAAGAGAGCAAGCGAGGCAATGAGTAACACTCGGGGAAGGCAGTGCAGTGTAGACAGGCAAATTACAGCGAGATTTTACATGGTTCGTACCGTGCACTGAACTTCATCATTAAAATTGTTTATTTTGCTAACTTTTTAAAGGAAAGCCATCTTATTATACTTTACAATGTTTGAATTATCAATATCCAAGAAGGAAGGACTCAGTCTGGAACCATAGCCCTGGCAGAACAAAAAGCAATCTCAAGTAATTTCTTAAATGTCATTCTTCTGATTGCCGACCGTTAAACAGTTTGATCTTGGGGAATGACTGGAAGGGTAACTGGTGTACAAACTACCATGTCAAACAAAATCAAACCCACTGTGGTGATTCCACAGCATATGGGAGCAACCAGAAGTAGCTTCTTCTGACAGCTTTTCTTGTGTTTGATCAATCATTGTTTGCAGGTCAGTCACTGGGGGCATCTTTTAATTATCTTTATGTTAGGTTAGCAAAGCTGTGACAACAAAGGTGGGTTCCTAGATTCACAGACATCCTCATCAGTTATATATATTTTTCATCAAAGTGTCAAAGATGGGGCCGAAGGGAGGCCCCTGGAACAAAATGCAACAATGGGTGGAAGCTACACAGGGGATAAAGAGGTCTCGCTAGTCCTACCACTCTGTTAAAATTTAATATATTTACTGTTGAAAACTGTTGAAAACAGATTATTTCTTATCCGGTTAAATCGCTGTTAGATCTTGTGCATCAGGGCACCTGCTATTAATTACTGCTCTCCTAATGTATGGAGGCAGGAGGTCTGTGCTCGTTACCATCATTGTAACTCAGCGAATGGTCAGCTGGTCAACATCTGGTAGAAACAACCCCCCACCCCCTTACTCATTGCTGGATCCCCCTGTGCCACCCGAATCTAAAAAAAAAAATCCTGTAAGTGCTCCTGTAAGCGTTATTTATGCATGAATAAAAACAGAGTTGTGAAGTAAAGCACTCCAGCCTTCCTGATCTCATTCAAGAATAATTTACTGCTCTTCATAATATTTTAATCTAAGTCTAATATAATGAGTGGGGAGTTGTTTTTGAACTAACTCTGTTGCTGCCAGAAGCATTGAGGCTGCACTAATTTGTTGTTCCCAAAGCTGGATCCCACTTGGATTCTACTATTTGAACTTTAACTAAAAGTAAAAGTAGGTGTCGCGTAAACGTTAAACTTGAATAGATTTTTACTACTAAAAAAGGCTGATGGGGTATTGTTGTTACCCTGTCGGGCAGCTGGACAACTCGATTTCATAGATATACCTGCTAAAAATCTCAGCCGAACTCGAATCTCAGTGACCTCGACCTCAAGGTCAAGGTGAGAGGTCAGGTTTTCTGAACATTTTGTGAATGCAATAACTGTAGGCGTGTCTACTAGGACACAGGGGTAGCACTGGGGGGCTCCCAGTATTTTTAATGTTGATGTTATGGTCCTGAGTGCATGTGATACTGCTTGTTTTTGATACTGCTTACTGAGTAACCTCAGTTTTAAACAGGAATATAACACTGGCAACCAGTTAGGTCAAGTCTCCTATCGCAAAGAAACACGTTGCAGACAAGTTGCACTGATCACAGCAGACACACTCAGACTGATTGTAATGTCATAGAAATCTATGTTTATAAATTAGATGGCAATTGTTTGCAAAGCTTCACTAATGAAGAGTGATTGCAGTCAGTCCAAGTCAGACGATGATTGTTTGGAGACAGGTTGCTTCCCACCAGGTGTCTTGAGCAATCACCTTGACATCGAAAGTGATCATCTAGAGGTTGAGGGTATTGCATGCTTAACCTATGAGCGACCAGTTAATCACCCCATCTCCTTGTAGTTCAATTAGGTCACTGGAAAGCCGTCAATTTTCACTAATCACGCGGGTTAGTGTTCTATTTTTAATCTAGTGTGACTGTGCTTTTGTGCTTCTGTTTTTGTTTTGTGTCTCCCACCTGCCTCTGTGTTCTGCTTGTAGGTCCTCTCATCACTGTTTTATGACAGCTGATAAAGCGGGACATTAATAGCATGTGTAAATGTCACCTCATTTGGTGTTTGACCTGTGGCAGTTAAGACGAATATTGGGCTCATATAAGCGTATGATAATGTAACACTGATATATCAGTGTTCGTGCTGCGAGAGGATCACTTGTTTAACAGATGAACCTCTGACTATCCCATGCCTCATTAAACTACTAACATGAGACGTGTCCTTTTTCATTTGTGATGGTTTGAGGTGTTTCTCTCGCCCGGGGTGCGCATTGCATCGCTGACTGCTGTTTACAGCAGCGTAATATCATTTGGGAACTCAACCCTGCACTAAGTAGGACATTTCTGGATGATTGATGAGGATCATTTGATGTTTGACAGCTCAAAGGTGGCCGGGACTCATGAAGAACCACTTATAGAGAGGATGAGTCGAACAAGCGTAAATGCATCTTTGTGCTTTAGCCCTCCTCACTGTGACCTTTGCTGCTTTGAGCGTTGCCGCTTGGTTAGCAAGGTGCACACTGAAGCTCTTCACTAGGAGTTCATGAATACGCTCTGCTTCACGCCGACTTTTCTCTCCTCATCTCCAGTGACCTTCTCAAGCTCCTCACTGCTCGTCTTACACATTTTCATTGACCCACCGGCTCTCCACTAGCAGCCGTCATCCTGCATTTTTCAGCGTGTGTTGACACAGATGAACAGTCACAGCAGATTACTCAGTGGCTCCCTTCTCCTCTCCCTAATTTATTTGCACAAGAAAATCTATTTCCCTGGAAAAAAGGCTCAGTTTGAGAACATTTCTTTCTACTTAGCGTATTATTAGTCATTAGTTCAGTCTAATAAAATATAGCATGAAAAGCTGGTGACGGTGACGAGAAAATGTTTACTAATATAACTGCAAACTCATATTTTCTGGTGTTCTTGTGTGCGCCTTGCTAAATAGAAGTTCTTTCTGTTGCAGGACAATAGAGGCATTTTTTCACTCCTGAAACTTAAATGTGCTTTCTGTTTCATCCGTAGGTGCTGTCGGTGCAGATGTGCGACGTGGTGAACGAGATCCAGCTGGAGAAAGAGCGCTGTGAAAATAGCACCTCTGGGAACGTCACTTCAGGTCATTATGGAAAACATATGTAGTCTCTCCAGCTCTTTAGGGTGTGCAAAAGGCTACTTAAAGAAAAAGGGAGGCATAGTTAGTAAGGTGAGGTCAGACAGTGTGTGAATTTATATTTCAGAAATACATTTCTTCAGGACATAACAGCCACATTCAGACACGAGAGGGAAAATAACTTTCAAAATAAAACAGGAAGAGATTGAAATAGAAACATGTAACACAATGACAGACAAACAGCAGGAGACACAAACAAGGAGGCACAGCAGTAAGCCACATGCATAACAGTAGTACACTTTTATCCTGTTAAAGTAGCTAAAACTACACCAATGCCTTTTAACTCAGACACCAATTTAGATTCAAAATGTAATGTATGCTTCTCTTTTTGGCCCACTGAGATATCTGCTTGGCCGTCCTTCCTGTGACTTTAGGAACGCAGTGAAATATTGATATTAAACGTTGTTGGCACTATCTCCATTTCCTTTCATTTTAATAAAAAATCACTACACGTGCTGTACATACGGCATGCTGCGTTAAGGTAACAGTGGAAACAGCGTTCTTTATTGCTGTAATGGCCCTTATTTTTCTACTTTCTTATCTACTTCCTCAACCAGAAGATAGTTGAAGTGGCAGTCAGGGGTCACATCCTGAGTAACTGAGTTAACATGAGTGTTTGTGGGGAACCATAAGCTTACAGACTATGGCGGTGCAACATAATACATCAAGGGATCCTTCAGCAGTTCCTTGGTTTTCTTATAATATTTTGGACATTAAAACATTTTGATCGAAAGTAGATTTTAGCTTGTAGCATTAATCAAGTATAAACATTTTATTAAAGGACAATATGGTGATTGCACAAGATGTCATAATGAAGCTGTTTGTTTGCTTTGCATTGCTCACGTCATCATTTCCTGGGGTTAACTCGGGTGTTGTCAAGTAAGTCATGTATTTGAAAGGTGCAGCTGAATAACACTTTCAGACTGCTAGGTTTTCACTTTTGTTTTTCAAAATTATTATTTAGAAATATGTATTTTTTATTAGATTTTATTAGATTAATAAAAATAATAATAACTAATTATAAATAAAATAATAAAAATGAATTAAGAATTTAAAATACTTAAAATAAAAACAATTAAAAATATGTTCAAAATAATAATAGATCAAAGAAAAACAATGGTGTGCTTGGTTTCAACGTAACTTTATTCTTTCATGAGTTATTTACAAGTTTCTGACCACTTATAAAATGTGTTCAATGTGCTGCCCATTGTGTTGGATTGTCAATGCAACCCTCTTCTCTCACTCTTCACACACTGACAGCAACACCGCAGGAGAAATGCCAGCACAGGCATCCAGTATCCGTAGTTTCAGGTGCTGCACATCTCGTATCTTCACATCATAGACAATTGCCTTCAGATGACCCCAAAGATAAAAGTCTAAGGGGGTCACCATTGTTTTTCTTGTGACATTACCAATACGTTTGGTGTGTCACATGGCCCTCTTCCTATTGAAAAAACAAAAGTTGTATCCAAGATGGCCGACTTCTAAATGGCCACCATGGTCACCACCAATCTTGAGGAGTTTGCCCCCTCACATATACTAATGTGCCACAAACAGGACTTTAATATCACCAACCATTCCCATTTTATTGCGGTGTATCCATATAAATGGCCCACCCTGTAGAGTCAGAATTTGATGTAAACAACATGAAAGCATGGGTCCATTTTACCGCGTATCACCATCTCACAAAGCTCGAATCATCTTAAACTCAGTATCATTTCTTATATATGACAATGAGTTCACTGGACTCAAACGGCATCCACAGTCACCAGATCTCAGCAAACCTGCAACAACTGTGGATGAAAATCTCCATCTTTCCCCCCAAAAATTGTGTCATCTATAGAATAATTATTAATAAGGTAGGGGCCTAACTCCATATTAGTGTCTCTGATAAACTTTCCACTGAGACTCTCAGGCAGTCCATTATCTCAGATAAATGTCAAGCTGATTAAATATTGATTGTGACAAATCAATATGTTTAAAAATAAAATTCATCTGTTGCTTGAAGATTGGAGGCATAGAAGATGAAACCACCACGAATGAGTTTTTCTTTAACCCATATTATGACATTTACAAAACTCTAAACCTGTAACTAAGTCCCTAAAGTGAAACTGAGTGATAACACGCAGCTGCTGCTTGCCATTAATTACTTATTCAATTTGGCTTTAGTGTTGGACATGATTTCATTTTGTCATCGTGGTGTTGGTGCTTGCACGTGTGTCTCTTACAATATGAGCGATGACATGTTGATGTTATTATGTTCACCTGGCAGGGTGCCAAGGCATGTGGGACATCATCGCCTGCTGGCCTTCAGCTCGGGTCGGAGAGGTGGTTACAATAACCTGCCCGCCTTATTTCAGCTACTTCAGTGACCATCAGAAAGGTAAATCGATTACATTCAGTGCAAGTGCACAAAAGAAGGAATAACAGATGTTCTCTATGTGCTCTTCCGTAAAATAACAAGCTCAAGAAGAAGAAAACTAACCGTCATTTAAATGTATGTAATTTTCTTTATGAAGGAAATAACTGCTTTGTGGCCAAAAAGCCTAAAGATGCCATAGCAGGACTTCGCTCAGCAGTGCTGTCACGAGCTAACACATTTATTTATTCTTTTATAACTGTGAGTATTTTCATATTTAAAAGGTTATTTGCATACAGTTGAGCCTTTGGGTAGACACTGAAGATAAAATTTTCTCCTTGCATACAAATGGACTTTTAAAATATCAAGGACAGTCACTGGATGCCCAACAGAAAGCCTGCAGCAAACATCTCAGGGGAGATTGGATTGGATATTGATTCATGAGGCCCATAAAGAGCTTCATTTCATCATTTTTGACACGACAAATCCATAAAATATCAAAAGGTTTTGCATGTATCCATTTTATTAAAATGCAAAAAGAACTTAACCGTGTCAGCCTAAAATCAACCAAAGCACATGATTATCAACTTTAATGTTAAAACAGTCCTATTTATGTAATAGTGGAGCGGGGAACACAGACAGGATAGTGGGGAGAGAGAGAGAGAGAGAACGGGAGGACATGCAGGTTGAATCAAAGCCAGGCCTCTAGACATGCAGCATACTGTCGTCTGCTCACCCACTGAGCTAAACTGATGCCCACTAGCACAGATTTTAAAAGTTGACTACTGTTAGTGAAGCTTACCGATTAGCTGTAGAAGTTTGGTGCTTGGAAGTGTTCAGCTGACTCAAGCCTCTGATAAGCGGAATAAAACCATAAATATCAAACATCTCAGGGGCAAGCCGATGCAAGCAATTACAAGGGTTTTAAAATGAATCCTAAGCTGTAAAGGTAGCCAGTTTAACGATACCAAGGTAAGTTTAATAGGTTCATCTTTTCATTTACGAGTAGCAGCATTTTGGACTAACTGCAATCGTCATAAACGTGCCTGGCACGCTCTGGCATATAAAGAACTGCAGTAATCGAGTGTGGCTGTGGTAAAATCACGGATCACATTCTGAAAGTTATTAAAAAAATAAAAGGTCTCATTTTAGCTTTCACTGAGAAAAGCTTAAAAAAATCTAATCTGCAAATCTCATTTCAGACTCTGTTCAAATTTGTCTTTTTCTACCACATTTTCCCTGATTCCTGATCACGTGCTGTGAGGGTTTTCTGAAGGAATCGATTTTGCAACTTATTAAGCTGTGCTTAACACCTCAAAGGAAGTCGTGGAGTCAAGTTTTACTGTACAGAATTTACCTGCATTCAGTTGGTTATGCAGATGTATAAATGCATAAATTCTTTTACATTTGATTGTAATTTACCACCAAGTCTATTTTATGCTGCTGGAACTGCAGGTAAAAGAGTAAAGATGAGAAGACTAAATTAAAGAATAATTAAATTTAACTTGGATGTGACCACAAATTACATTGCTTTCAACATCTCTCTCTCTCACTAGGATATGCGCTCATGTATAAATATAAATATGTTGTCAGAACTATAAGGTTGCAGCTGTCAAAGAGTGACGGTTAAGAAATAAATGTCAAGCACACGAGGGTTAAAATAAATATATTACATCTCTAAATATATTACCTCTCTTGACTCATTTGCAGGATCTGTGTTGCCTTTTGCGATTATATTTTCACATCCCATTCTTTATCTGTCCCTATCACCGGTTTTTCTGATAGTGTCTTTGACAAAAATAGGCAGCCTTCAATTGGTCCATTTTGTGCAGAAGGAGAGCCAAATGACACCTTTTATGTGAGCGTGCACACAGCCTGAAGCAGAGAGAGCTGATAAGCACTGTCATAATACCCGTCATGTCTGATTGAGGTTTTAAGCTGATGTGTTGTCAACCTAATGCACAGAAAGCCTATAGCTATGCTGAGCTTGCTGCACAGTGAACTGCACTGTTAAATAACTGCGTCATCGTGCTGTGTGGAAGGACATTGTTCTGATTGAAGTGTCTCCACATAATACTAGTGTTCTGTGTTGAACCTGCAATGTGTATGTATGGTGCATATAGAATTTGAAAAAGCGCTTGATGTTAACGTTAAAACTTCACTGAGGTTACTGTAGATGTAATGAATGGACAAAGCCGAGGACTAGATGTAAAGTCTGGACAGACTCGATCACAGTCTGGAAGAAAACTGCTCAGACCCCTGCTTAACCTTTATTCTGGACGACGTACAGACACAAAGTGTTATGTGACAGCTGTGTGCAGACTCCGGAGACAGAAAGTAACTCAAAACAGCTTTAATGCTGAACTCAAAAGGGTAACAAAAACTAAGAATACAAAATACACCTACACAGACTAAACACACAGCAAGATAAAGGCAGATCGCAACAATGACAAACTGAAACACAGGGCTTAAATACACAGAGGGCGCAATCAGGGAATGGACAACAGGAGGGAAACACAGCTGGGGCAAATCAGGACTAACGAGACAAAGAAGCTTAATCTGAACACACTGAGATAAGACAGAGACCTTCAAAGTAAAACAGGAAACACATAACACAGACTGAACAAAAGACACACACTCACATGCAGGCACTACAACAGAGGGAACAGAGACGTGGGACCAGAGCAGACACAGACACTGACTGGACACGGGGATATAGCGGACAGGGGAGACAGCAACTAAGGATTTCACAGAGACAAACCATAAGACATGACTCTAACAAAAACCCAAAGACTAGAAATGATAAATAATATAATAAACTCAAAAACCCAGGCATCCTAACACAAAGGAGAGGAAGGGGCTGCTGCTGTTTCAATGAACTAAGACAAGAAAAATAAGCAATAAAACTTTTTTTAATATCATCTACAAAGCCCAAAAAGGTTATATATAAATCACACTTTTGCAATTGAGCCAAGTTTCTTTCCACCCCAGCTCCCTTCTTACAGTAAATTAACACTTTTTACATCACCAAGAATGTTTGATCTTGTCAATGACTCTACATAAGAAAAAAAGCTGAACGGTCATTTATCTTTTTGCAATTACATATTGCCTGTCTTGGATTTTTTTTTTTTTTTTTAGCTTTACCTTCTTTTTAAACTCGTGTCCTTCAGTTTTACTCTTAATGCCTTTACAGCCGAAGCTTCACATCTGTGACTAAACAAAGAAATCTCATTTCTTACTCTCTTTCTTCTTTCAGTTGAGGAAAAGAGAAAGAAGATAGATATTGTCACAGATGGTCTGCTTGAATGGACAGACTATAGTGAATCACTTCAGCGTCTGTGCTGCATTGATGTCTTTGTTTTCGAAAGAGAAACGGATGTTTTGTTTTGTGCGTTTTAGGGGTTAAAGTAGGATTTGACAGACCGGAGAAAAGAATTACGTCAAGGCCGGGTAAGGCTGTGATCAGCTGACCTGTGCTGCTCCTCACTATTCACTACTATTTTACTATTTACTGCTCTTTGTGGATTTAACTAAATTCAAAAAGATACACTCTGAAAAAAATAAATGAAATTTTCACTCTCAATATACAAAAAGCAATAATTCAGAGTAAAATGAAACAGAAATGTATAAAAGCAAAGGTTTATTTATTTGAATACCTAATCTGTAAGGAAAATGTGCTCGGTATAAACTGAACGTGTACAAATCAACATTTTACACTGTAGTTGTGTAACAAAATTAGGTGGAAAATTTACATGTAACTAAACTAAATAAAGTCATCAGTTTGAGCAGAAATCTTTTCTTTTCACTCCTTATACATTGTTGTTTTATGAGCTGTATTCTAACTCATAGACCATATAAAGCTAGTATAAAACATAAACAATGGCATAAACACCTTAAAGCTGCAATGTGTAAAATCTCAATACTAGATATAAGTAGATTGCAGATTGCAGTCGAGCGAGTTTTGTTTTGTAAGCCTCCCAGTTCAAGTGCATAATCCTAGCTAAGTTCACAGCTAAGTTCACATGAACTAAGTTCAAAGCTGTCAGTCAGCGTCTGTTTACTCTGCAAGAGGCTGAAAACTTTGTGAAAGAAGTCATATATGAGTCAGTGAAGCTCTCTTCTGTTCGATAACAGCAAAACTGAAGTGAGTTGTTGAGCTGAACTTTTACTGTCAGTAAGTGCTGCTGTTAGCTGCTTTTAGCCTATGTTAGCTGCTGTTAGCCTATGTTAGCTGCTGTTAGCATATGTTAGCTGCTGTTAGCCTGTGTTAGCTGCTGTTAGTTAACATTAGTGAAACTGTTTTTGAAGTGGATCTAACGTCGTTGTACTGTGGAGGACCCTATTTAAGATGTATAAAAACACGAGTTCTCTTTTCCTCCGCCTTTGAGATGCTACATATTGAGCTGGTCTTTAGCTACATACATAACTAGGTTAGGCAGAACTCAAGATAGCGGGGCAACATGGTGGCAACAAACTGGTACCTTATGCACTTTAATGGCTTGATTAATTCAGTTCAATCCAGTTTTATATATATATATAATACCAAATCACAACAGCAGTTGTCTCAAGGCAATTAATTAGAAGTTCATTTCAATGTGACAGTTTGTTGGAAGACATAATTACACAGTATTAATGTCCGCTACCTTGATGTACCCTAGTAACAATACCCTAGATGCAGCCAGTCTAACATAGTGCATTGCTGTAAACTTTGATGCAGTACTCCAAACTAACCCACCTTTGAATAACACTGATTCAGTTGGTTTCCCAAGATGTTTCACAAAAATGTAATCCAGCAATACATCACGTAGATCCAATATCTGAGTTAAAAACTCTAAAATGATTAAGGATATTACTTGCAAATATCCTTAAATTTCCAGTTCATAACTTGCAGGGAAGTCCTTACCTTTGAAAATAATCTCTCGTCTTCCTCTGTTTTCCTGTCTTTCTTACATCTTTCTCCATCTATCAATGCCACACATCAACGTTTTTCTTTCTTCTCCCTGTGAAAAATAGCAGCTGTAATT